GTACCAACCACTATGATTACCAGTGACTAATTAATTCTACTGGTAAACGAGAACATGGAACATGCAATAAGCAGAATGTGATACAACCGACCATGATTGCTTTGATGACAAACGTGCCCAGCATCCAAACAATGGAACGTGACGGTGACGGAACTTCCGCATGTAACCTGATAGGCTTTATCTCATTAATAATTGAAGGCTCCAAACAAGTGATCCAACAAATCAGTGATGCCAATGAATCATTGGACTATGGACATATGAACCTGGTTGGTGGTTTGGAACATTTTTTCCATATAAATATTGGGAATAATCATCCCAACCGACTTTCATATTTGTTAGCGGAGTTGAAACCACCAACCAGTGAACCATTTAACACCAGAGAACCGTCTCTGGAGTCGACTGAGGTGAAACGCTATGTGCCTCACAGTGGGCACCCGGAGCTCAAACTTTGTGGTGCTCTGGTTTTTTTACGCCGGCCAGGGCCATCAGGTCAACAGGTCCTAAGTTTGGACACCAAAATCACCAAAATCACGGATTGAATCTGCAAAATCCAAACCCTTTGCTGAAAATCAAAATCCTCAGTGTATATCCAGTGGAATCCATGTTTTTGATCGTTTTTAGAAGCCCTGGCAATCTTTTTGCCGGCTTGCTCGCCGGGAATTCGCCAAGTAATGGATAAATGAGCATGTCAAAACATCCCGAGAAGCCCAAGAATGCAACAGTTGCCACTCCGGTTCTTTACTTTTTCTTTTTTTTGTGGCATCATGGTATCGTGGGGGGTTTCTGTTTGATTCTTCTCATGGCAATAGTGCGTGGTTTCGTATATCTTGGTTTCCATCCTGACAGTCCTTAGTGAGTCGGTCAGCCGTATTTTGCAAGAAAAAACTTCAGCACCAAGCCCTTGACCATACCCAAGTGTCAAATTGGAATTTATGCCTGCATGCTGAACATCTCTGTAGGGCAACTCATATTCAATGTTGATCCCGAACAGATAATATGTTTCGACGGGGTTCGCTATTATCATTAAAATGGTACCCCTTAATTAAGCATGGGTTAAGGGCAGATCTGGAGGAGATCTGTGTGTTTGGTGCAAATTTACCTTGATGTACAGTAGATGTTCATAGGTTTTACCTAAATCAGTCCATTACTGGTTGGTGGTTTGGAACATGATTTTTATTTGTCCATATATTGGGAATAATCATCCCAACCGACTTTCGTATTTTTCAGAGGGGTTGAAACCACCAACCAGATTAATATCTATAATGTTGGTTATGCTCCCATTGTATCTCATTACATCCCAAGATATTCCCATGATATCCCCATCCCAAGGGAGCGCTGCACTTTCAGGTCCAGAAGTGCCGACCCTCACCTTTTTCGGAGATCAATTTCAGAGGCCTTGCTGGGCTGTTTCTGTTGAAGTTTTTGTGGGTTGTCAGCGAATCATCGATGTTGTGCAAAATATATCGCAATATGTGTTGTATGCATGTGTGCCATATGGATTTGTAATATACGATTATATATGTATGCATGTATATATGATATGTATATCTATGTTTACATGGTTCTGAAAGCATATGTCAATTTTAGTGCGTGTGTGTGTGTGCATTTGATGCAGTTGTTGTCGTTGTTTCATGCTATGTTTACTTCTATGTATTTGTAGCTTCCCAAGTCTTTGGCTTCAGCATGGAACATCCTTTGGTTTCACCCTTGCGGAGTCAGACCTAGCAATGGAAGATCCCCCAGGTGTAGATCATGAAAACTTGTTTAACATCGGGATTTTCTATTGCTAGATTTGAGTACTAGAGGATGCGTATGGAATGAGACCCCAGGTACTGTACCCAATTTAAAAAAGATGCTGACATGTCCAAAAGCTAGTCATGGGTGCATGCAGCCAGCCATAGAATTTGCACCCCATTTCATCAACAACTTGTTTCAAAATGGGTCCTTAGGTACACTGTCATAGACTTTCATACGTCAGGTAAGCAATCACATGCAACCCCAACTTACCTATGTTAAACAATACCAAACAGAATCTTACAATATGTTTGTTTGACATATCAGATCGTCAAGCCGAGCTCAGGTTTCACGACGAGGTGAAGCGGATCTATGCCGTAGATCATAACAAGCCGCCCTTTGGCACGGGATCCTTGGCGAAAAAACCACTGGTGAGCTGACGGGTGGCCTTCTGCAGGGCTCCCCTTAAAAGAAAGTCGCTGGTGGAATGTTCATCACCATTGCCGAGATCTGATGTGTGCTAGCCGGCTAAGCCCCTGAGACCGATAGGCATTGTATGTCAAAATCCCATGGTTGATTCTTCCATATTATGATATATTATGTATTTTTGAAACACATGTTCTTTCATGCAAATCCCAGGGTCGATTATTACCTTTATTGTTTATTGGCTAACATCGATCCTTTTTTTTTCATGTTTGGATTGTGTTTTTAGTGTTTGATTTTGTTGGTGCTTTGAAACCCATGTTAGTTGCCTAAAGTCCCATTCCTACTGCTGAGAATGCAACCTTCCAAGAAATGAATGGATGAAAGAATCATGTTTTGATGATACATTTTAAGCCAAGGATTTTTGGTTAAAACTGTTAGTTATAAGGTGGTTTTCACTAGGTATAATACCCCGTTAGCCCAATTAAGTGACCATTAAACCATCATAAAATTCACGTTGAAACACCATTAAATTCCCAGTGAATCCCGGGTTGAATGACCATAAAATCCTGATGAAATCCCAATGGCTCCCATGCAATTCCCATTGAATCCTCATTAATCCCAATCATGTCCCAGGAAAATCCCAATCATTTCCCATGAAATCCCCATGAAATCATCAGGAAATCATCATGAACCCGATTCACTCCTTTTAAAATCCCCTATGAAATCAGCAGTTCTCCTTGGAACGGCCAGGAAGGCCTGATGACGACTGTGCCTTCGTACCGCCCTGCGACATTAAGGAGAGCATCAGGCGCCATCGGTGACCTGTGAGCACCTGGAAGCCACCCCATAAGTTGAAAAGGTCTTCCAACTGTTCTATCTATGGCTGAGGGTTGCTACAAAATCGACTATCTATATCTATCTATATCTATCTATATCTATCTATATCTATCTCTATCTATATCTATCTATATCTATCTATATCTATCTATCTATCTATCTATCTATCTATCTATCTATCTATCTATCTATCTCTATCTCTATATCTATCTCTATCTCTATCTATCTCTATCTCTATCTCTATCTCTATCTCTACCTATCTATCTATATATCTATCTATCTATCTATCTATCTATCTATCTATATATATATATATATGTATTACACACACACATATATATATATATATTGGTGAACTGGAGCTATGGTTATCCATATTCCCAATGAGCCATGGGGAGCTAAGGAGCTACTAAGAATTTCCCAACCAAATGTAAGTGCATATTCCAGCACCACGAAGCATAAGTTTTTTTTCCCACTTACAAGGCGTTGACTTAGCAATGAACTGACCACGGCCCATCTAACATCATCTAACTACTGATTACTTGTGATATCTTGTGATCAAGTTAATCAACTATCGACCATCATAGACCATACTCAGGAATGCTGGGAAACCTTTTGCATCAGGGATGAAATTTGACCAGGCAGATGCGAGCTGCTTGTGCCGACCTTCAGGCGCATGATTTTCCCGGTGCTAACCATGGCCATTGGAAATACCAATTGTCGTATGGGAGAAAGAAACAATCTTGAAATGGATGATAGTAGTTTGTTTCCCGCAATGTTCCAGAGGACAGGGTGTTGGTAACGTTTTTTTTCGTTTGATTGGGCCATTGGGCATATGCTGAGTGAGCCTATCATGAAGATTTGCTGACAAGATGCTTCCAACCAGTTTATATAAAGTATAAGTAAATATATATATATATGTGTGTGTATTATGTGTATATGTGTACTAGACAGACGCACGCATGCATACACACAAGCACGTTGTGCATGAACATGTCATGCCGTCACCCATGCCTTGCCGTCAATAGGAAGGCGCCAGTGGCAGCTGGCGCTTGCACGAGCCGTTGGATGATGTAACCTGACGACTGATGGCTTGAGGGAATTGTATGAGGAGACTGGGTGATTGAGCGGCGATAACTACAATATAATCATTTATAATCATCTATTATCTTCATCATTTTGGGCTACTGGCTTGTAGAGTTTTCGCCAGTTTTTGGCCCTTGTGGGATATCATGGTTGATAATGGCATGTTTTTACTTTGGGATTCCATTCCATGTTGGTAGATGTTGGTAGTATTTATCATTATGATGATGATGATGGTGGGTATTCTGAGGTGATAGTGATGATGAGGGTGATGATTCGGTAGTGGCGGTTGATGATTTTGTACTCGACGCGTCATCTATTTTTTGAGAAACAATCATATTAGCGCATGCATGATGGGTGAATTTGGAGAAGCAACTCAGCAATGGGTAGTGCAGTAGTACATGCTGGATTTGTTGGTATGAATCGTATGTCCAAAGTGCTCAACCCAATTCGTGGTTGAAGAGGTTCCTTGAATGGTGCCCATTCCTGGATTAGAACCATTCATCCTCCTTAGTATTGGCTATACCACCACGAATCTGAATTGTTTAGGCAAAACGAACACACATAAATCAGATTAAATCAGCAGGGATTCTCCGTTTCAACCCAAAATCTAAAGGATTTCCAAGAAAGATACATCTTATCTCAGATTTTCCAACAATGACTTTAGTCAATATAAGTCAGATATATCGGGATGGGTCATCCCATAAATTCCAGCAATTTTGATGTCCAAAAAGGGCCAGATCGCGATAGATTTTCCCGTCTTTGCCAGCCGCGTTCGCCAGCCACCACTTTCAACAATCAGAAAGATATCATATCCTTTTCTCCCCCATCACTTTTGTCTTCTCCATACCAGTTTCACTGATTTCAGATTTTCTTGTTAATCAGATTCTTTGATCATATTCTCTTAGTTAATATATAGGTCTGTTCCACCATCTTCCCCACTTAAGGGTGCAGATCGGAGGCTATTAATAGCTATATATAACTTTGGGATCACTCTGGGATTCGAACTTCCATAACGTGGGATATAAGCCTTCCAACGATGGTGAAACATCGCCATCCCCCAACCCCTGCCATGGCCCCAGCTCCTCTACGCGCGGAACCTGCTGGCGGTGGACTTCCACCACGCACGGGCCGTGCAGCTGGTGAGGAACTACGTGGCCTATCGGCACCAGCATCGGGGAGGCGGGCGGAGCACGATTCAAAGGTTGGTTCATTTGTTGTTGTTTGACTGTGTAATCTGATATGAAAGGGATTGAAAGGGCATATGACCATAATTAAATGATATTTCTATAGGTTCGAAGTTTTTTTTTTGGAGGTGGGGTCATGTTTTTAATATAAGGATATATTTAGTCATAATATATGTATATATGTACATATCTATTTGTTTATATATATATATACTTGGTGCTTCAGCCATGTTCAGCCCAGTAAGTCAGGAAGTCAGTTACTACCACAGTGAAGACAACGGGAGAAGTAGGGCAGGGGCTATGTCCAGTTACAGCTGAGGTGAACTAACCCGCTTACTATTTGCACTGAACCACCAAGTATATATGAAACACATATATCATACGTATATATGATACTGGTTGGTGGTTTCAAACATGAATTTTATTTTCCATAATATATGGGATAATCAGATAATCATGGATAATCCTTCCCATTGACTAATATTTTTCAAGATGGTTAAAGCCACCAACCAGGATATGTGAGTAGTGAGGTCTGAACTGTTTTTTCTCCTTAGCGTGGGCAGATATACGTGATTTTGAGCCATTGTTGGGCCGTTTGATGTTGAAAGGCACGCCAGTCAACAAGAAGGATCACGGCGGGCCGAAATGGTGTTAACACTCATCCAGGGTGATAAATTCCCATTGGCCGCCTGTAAACATAGATGTGGAAAAGAAACACCATTTGTACATCTTTGTTCCGAAGGGGAAAACCCCATGACTCTTCCACATTTGGAGGCATTTTTCCGGACTACGCGTGGTTGAAACTGGGCATTGCTGTCCTTCCCTTTGAGGAACCCGGCGGCTGAGGTCGTGAGGTAAAGCCAATAATAAATCCAGAGTCGGGGGATAGTTTTTTTTTTTAAAATAGGGTTTTATCACACATATTTATATATATATATAATTCTGGCAAAATTGCATAGTATTCAGTACTTGCTTTGTTACATTATATTTTCCGGAACTTTTCAACAAAACCTGTGGCTGTGCAGGACGTGATGGGCCGCCCAGTGATGATAGCGCGTGCCAAGCATTTTGATTCGCAGACATCGGTTCCTCGGTATATGACATACCCGGTGAAAAATCACAAATTTTATTAGGTAAATCAACTATAAATGGGTAATTTTTCCATAGTTATGTTAGTTAACCGGAGGGTATTTGAAGACTGCCAAGAGGCTCTGAGTAGTGCATCATTTGCGATATTGGTAAAGTTTGAGCCCTGATCTAGTGGGGTTCATCATTAGGGGCTGGTTGTGAAGCATCCACACAAACAACTAAGAGTGACAGGCATGGAAGACCCACTGATGATAAAATATGATAAAATCCTATGGTCCGGTTAAAGGATACCTGAGAGAGATGTAAGTTGGCAATTCAATCGTCAGTTACAAACAATGAATTCCCAGTTCATCACCGGTTGTTTCATATATGCCACTTTGGCTCAAGTGGCTCAAACGCGCCGGCGCGCCCCCGGCCCGTTCATGGAACCGGCGATCCTCACCCTCCAGGGGGTCGAGGTCGCCGGTGCCACGGACGGCTCACACGTGAGCCTGTCCGTGGCAGCCTGGCTCCGGCTGGGAGGGCAGGTCGCCTTGGCGGCACCTGCCCCCCCCGGGGCCCCGGCAGCCGCCCCGGCGGCGCCTCCACTCCCTGCCCGTCGCTCCCCTTCCCCCTCCCGCTCCCGCTCTCGGGGGAGTGGCTCTTCCTCCCAGGGGTCGCCCCCCCGTGCTCGCCTTTGCCCGCGCCGGGCGCCCCCTCCCGAGAGCTCGCCTTCGCCCTCCTCGCCCTCGGCTGCGGCGGAGTTCGAGGAGATCCCGGTGGAGCCCGAGCCTCCTCTTCCTCCACCGGCGCACCGCCCGCCGGCGCGCCCTGCGGCGCGTGGCCCCCCACCCGCGCCTCGCCTTCCCCAAGCACCCGGCCGTCGGCCCACGCGCCGTAGCCAGCCAGGGCCTTCCTCCTCGCAGGACCTCCAGCCCACCCGTCACTGCCTTCACGGCACCCGGGCCCATCCCAATCTCCGCCAACCCTTTTGCCCGGACGGGGCCTTCCCCGTTCCGCTGACCCGGTCGGCTCCGCCTGCGCCATCCGCTTTTCAAGGCAGCAGGCACCCCACGCCACCCCCCGGCGGCCGGCACTCCGCCACCCCCCGCCACCTCCTTCCCCGCCCCCACCTCTGCTGCGCGCCATCCTTTCAAGGCAGCGCGGCAACTCCCTTGCCCTTTGAGCAGCCGGACGCACCTTTCACTCCACCCACACCTCTCCCCACCGGAACCCCCGGAAAAAAAAAAAAGAAAGGGGAAAAAAAAAAAAACAAAGGAAAACCGAGGTTCGCCACTGACCAAAACAAAAAAAAAATAATAACATACAGCAGACAGCAGACCGGGCGAGCCTGACGCCATAGCAGCCTGCGAGAGAGCGTTTGGCCGCTGCTCATCGGGCACTGGATCGGGAGGAGGCACGGGCCGAAAATACACACAATGGTGACGGTGACGAAGTCGTTTTGGTTCAAGCGTTTCACCCTAGCGCCACCACGGCAGCTGGGGCCACCCTCCCGGATGTCTCACCCGCCCCCGTCGTCCTCAGTGACGGCGAGGACGCGCCTCCCCCCACCGCTCGTACCGATGGCGCCCATGCCGCGCCCACATGTTGCACCTGCCTCGAGCCCTTACTCCCTTCCGGGGTGGGGCGCCGGGCGGTCGTGTATTGGCCCGGCTGCCGGCACGCCTACCACTTCGCCTGCCTCGCCAGATCCCGCGCGCAAGTGCACCCTCCACGATGTCCTCTGTGCCGTCATGCCTGGGACCCAGCGCTCGATGCCAGCTTGAGCAGCACTTGCCACAGGCTCCACTTCAACCCCTTCCAAGAATCCGAGCCCGAGCGCGCCACGCCGCCCCCTTCTCGCCGCCCCAGGGGCGCGGCCGCCTGGCGCCAGCGCGGCCCCCCAAGTGGCATTGTCCGGACGGATGCCAACTCCTGGCTGTACGTGCCCCTACTCCTCGCCGCGACAGGCGAGCTCCACGAGGATGCCGCCTTGGCCTGGCAACAAGCCACCGCCACCACACGGTGGTGGGAGCGCGCCCGGCAAGCGCTGACAGCCGCGCCCCCGGTCCCCCTCACCACCCTCCTGGAAGCCCTCCACGCCTGCCCAGCTGCTGGCGCGCTTTCCTCGCACCAGCGCCTTTCCCGACAGGCGGCCGCGCTCCCACCAGGTGCCCAAGCGCATCTGGGCTGGGCAGTTCGCCACCTCTGCGACCCCGACGCGTACGTCCCCGCCGCTGGCCAAGAAGTGCTTCTCCAACTCTATGGTGGCCTTCACCTTGCTGCCGACCTCGACCGGCACTCGGACACCTTCCGAGCGCGCCTGGACCCTCCGGCGCCCATCCAGCTCCCTGCCGATCCCGGCCCCGTGCATCCCGCGGTCGAGACTTCGGCGCCCAGAGAGCCGGCCATTGTCCGGGCTCTGGCCCAACAGGTGGCCCGTGCCCACCGGCCCCCGCCGCGCCGCGGCGGTCGCGGCCGCGGGCGTGGACGACACGCAGCCGCGGCGGACCCTGCTCCCGCAGAGCCTGCCGAGGTCCCAGACCCTCCGCCTCCCCCTCTTCCGCCCTTTCCAAACCCCGCAGCTCTGCTCCAACAAGCGCTCCGCAGCCTTGACGACCTCGACCTCGCCCACACCTTGCGGGTGCGGGTCTCGACGTTCCAAGGTGCGCCCCGGCGCTTGCAGGGAGTCCTTGCCTTTGCGCTCCGCTTGGGCCTCACCGAAATCTGCGACCACCCCGCCAACACGGACCCTGCCCAAGCACGTGGCTGGAAGCTCTTCCTCCTGGCCCCGCGGATGCTTTGCTACCGGTCCCGTCCCGGGGAGCGCGCCGAACCCAGCGACCTCGACCGCTGAGCCACTATGTTCCGGAACGGCCAGTGGCACCAGCTGCTCGGCGAAGCTGCCAGCAGCTTCCACCCCACAGCGCCGTCCTCGAGCGTCCCCTCTGCTGACGCGCGTGCTTCCCGTGCAGCCAGCCTGGCACATCAAGGGGAACTTTCCGCGGCTGCCCGGTCGCTAGTGGCCGAGCCCCTCGCGCCGCTCTCGTCCGCCACCCTGGCCGAGCTGCGCAACCCGTCCCGGCGCCCGCAAGTCCGGCATCGACCCCTCTCGGACGACGTTGCCTCTTTCCAGCCCGATGAGCTGCTCCACGTCGATGCCACCAGATTCCTGCAAAACCTCCGCCGGGCCTGCCGCGGGGCGGCCGCTGGTCCGTCTGGCTGCACCAATGAGCACCTGCGGGTCTTGCTCGAGTCTGAATCCGACTCCCGCCTCCTGTGCGACGCGGCCTCGCTCCTGGCCTCGGCGCGGGTGCCTCCCCTCATTATGGACGGCCTCCGAGTCGGCCGCCTTGTTGCCCTCCAGAAAGGCAACGGGCGTGTGCGCGGCCTCGTGATGAGCGACGTGTTCCGCCGGCTGGTCGGCCGGACCTTGGCGCAGCAATTCTCAGCCCAGTTCCAAGAGGCGTGCCACCCCTTTCAGTACGCCCTCAGCACCAAAGCCGGAGCAGAAGGCCTCGCACGCGCCGTCCGGGTCGCGACCGAGCTCGACCCCCGCGCTACCGTGCTGTCGGTCGACGGCGTCGGCGCTTTCGATCATGTCGGACGCCAGTCGATGCTCGGAAGCCTTCTCCGCTCCCCTGCGCTTCGACCCCTCCTCCCCTACGCCCGCCTCTTCTACGGCCAAGACAGCACCTACCTCTGGTGGGATTCTATTGGCGCCTGCCACTCCGTTCAGCAAGCCGAAGGGGGGGAGCAAGGCGACCCACTCATGCCTGCCTTGTTTGCGCTTGCCCAACACCCAGCGCTGCAAGAGACCGCGGCCACGATGCGGTCCGGGGAAGCGCTCTTTGCTTTCCTTGATGACATCTATGTCATTTCGTCGCCTGACCGCACCCACGCGCTCTATTCCACCTTGCGCGTTTCCCTCCGAGGCCACGCGTGCATCGAACTCAACCAAGGTAAGACCCGCATCTGGAATGCGGCTGGGGAAGAGCCGCGCCACCTCCCAGAGCTGCAGCCGGCTGACAGCAACGACCGGGTTTGGGTCGGCGACTGGACTCTGCCCCCTTCGGCGCAAGGCCTCCAGGTCCTGGGCACCCCCATTGGGAGCGCGCAATACGTGCAACATGCTCTTACCGCACCAAACAAGACCTCCTTCTCCACCGCATCCCATGGGTAGAGAACCTGCAGGCCGCCTGGCTGTTGCTCCTTTTCTGCGCAGCCCCCCGGAGCAACTATCTCCTCCGCGTCCTCCCACCGGCGGACACTACAGACTTTGCAGCCGCCCACGACGCCGCGGTGGCACATTGCGTCAGCACCCTGGTGGCGGCAGGCGCGGCCCTTACGGACCTACAGCTACGCCGGGCCCAACTCCCATTGCGCTTGGGGGGGTGCGGCCTGCGCTCGGCCCACCGTTCGCGCCTCGCCGCGTATTGAGCCTCATGGGCCGACACCTTGCCCATCCTCCACTCGCGCCTTCCTCTTGTGGCGGACCGCCTTCTCCAGCTCCTCAACGGCGAGGCCCGCCCACAACCACCCAGCATCCTCGCCGCCTCCCAGGCAGCCCAGCTCCTCCGGAACAGCGGGGCGACTGTCCCACCCTGGGAATCTATCATCGGCGGCCGCCATTTCTCGCACGAAGACCGGACCCCGGGCGATTTCCTGCGGGGGTGGCAACGCGACATCAGTGCAGCCCAGGACTTGGACGAGCTCGCCGCGCTCCTATCTGACCTTTCCCCTCCGGAGCGCGCGCTTCTCCTCTCCCAGGCTGGCCCACACAGCGGCCGCGCAGTCACCACCCTTCCTACCAGCCCGGAATTCCAGCTCGGCAACCCGCATTTCCGCACCTTGCTGCAACGGCGGCTTCGAGCCCCCTTGAGCTGCGGTCCTTCCCGATGTCGGTGTGGCTTGACACTCGACCCTCACGGCGACCACCGTGCCGCATGCGCCACCACTGGCGTCCTCCGGGCACGAGCTGCGCCCATCGAACGCGCGGTCGCCCGCATCTGCCGCGAGGCCGGTGCCCGCGTCGCGGTCAACGTGCCGCTCTCGCGCATGAACCTCGCGGTCCCGGTCACCGACGCACGCCAGATTGAAGTCCTCGCAAACGACTTGCCGCTCTGGCACGGGGCTCAGCTGGCAGTCGACGTGACCCTCGTCAGCCCCCTTGGCCGCACCGGACAGGTGCGCCACGCTTCCGACGCGAACCCGGGCGCGGCGATCCTGGCAGCCTCCCAGCGCAAGCGGGAACACACCTACCCCGAGTTTTCCGGCTCGCGCCGCTGCCACCTAATCATCTTGGGTCTCGAAGTAGGAGGTCGTTGGGGCGAGGAAGCCGCCGACTTCCTCCGAGCCTTGGCGCACGCCCGCGCCCGCACTGCGCCAGCACTCCTCCGCTCGGCGGCAGTTCAGGCCTACGTGCACCGTTGGGCCGGCCTCCTATCCGGCGCGGCGCAGCGCGCCCTGGCCGAGACTCTCCTCGAACTCCCGGCCGCGGCCGCGCCCGGCGTCGATGGGGAGCCCCCGCCGTTCGCCGCGACCCTGGCTGACGTCCGGTGGCATGAACGCCCACCGGATAGTCGCCTCCCGCGGTGACCGGTGTGGCTGTACATAGCCTTCCCCAATGGCAAAGTCCATTGGCGCGTGAGACGCAGAGTGGGTCATGCAGCAGGAGTGTTAGTGAGTAAAAAAAAAAGATAGAAAAGTCGCAAAAGCCTTTAGATTCTGAGGAGGAAACCACCTTTTTTTTCACCTCCTGGCTGTCCTTTTTGTTGTTAAAGAATGATTTCGAAAAACCTGGACCTTGCCTCGTTGGTAAAACCTCAACCCCCGGGGCCCCCGGCCGAAAAAAAGGCTGAGACCTTCCGCTGCTTTTACCGTGGAATGGTGGATAGCATCATCGCCCACTTTCTGCTGAAACGCCGACCGGAGCTGGATGGCCGGAATCCCTTGGAGCAATATGCGGCTTGGGTTGGCACTGCAGCACGGAAAGGGTTGGCAGAAATCCCGCACCAGGCGGGTATACAAGCGTGTCTACTAATAGTGACCCAGTTTTATACGCACTTAATCCACGCTCTCAATATGAAATACTGCAAATATTGGGACTATAACGGGAGAAACCATCTACCAACTGGTGCGGAATTTATTCCATACAGTATCTAGGTGAATTCTATGGTGTTTGACTTATCGCTAGACAAAGACTATCTATAATCCAAACTAGTATCAACTAATGTGAATTCTATGATGTGTGGAAATGAGCTATAACTATGGTTGACATCGGTGACTGATAAAGGATGATAAAGGTACGACACGAAACCAATTTGGTAAACCCCATGCCATAATCCATCCCCAATAGAGGGGTTTATGATGCGCCTAGGCCCTAGGAATGGGATGATATCTATTCTTACCCCCTTTTATGGTTAGTAAATGGGACTGTTTATGGCATTGGGTTTGCCACACTAGGCGAGTTCAAAGGTGTATGGTGGCTAATATCTATGGTTGAAATTGGTAACTGATAAGCAAAACTAGGTGAATTCTACGGTTCATAGTGGACATATCAAGCCTATGGTGTTTATAAATCAAGAAATCGACCTCGAAACACCTTGTGACCAGCGGAACCTCAAAACATGAACCACTTGCTCTCCACCATGCGTGGGAGGGAACTGTGGATCATGTTTGGTTCTTGGTTTCAAACAATCCTAAACGACTTTGATCCGAATGACCTCCTTGCGCTTCAGCCCTGAGTGCTGATATCCCCAGTTTTGGGTCTCAACACTCCATGTTTCTGTTTCAATCCTTATTTTCAGGGCTGCTCCAACCCATTAAAGGTAGATGATTCAGTAGATGATAGCAACTTTTGGGGTGGAATTTGGCCACCTGACCAATCTATCTACCCCATGTTCGCCGCTCGTATGTGGGGTGTTGAGAGCAACCTTGATTCATATCATCAACCATCATGGTGATTGAGGGCGGGCATGTTGATTATATCGAAAATATATCCATGAGATATCCCTATACCCATACATTTCCCATGCGTTCCCCCCTTGGTTGTGCATCACACTTAGTAAATGGTTTAAAACCCATATATCACCCATATAATCTGTCAAAGGGAACACAGCGGTAGCACATGTAACAATGAACAATGTTACGGCCATCATGGCTCAAGCGCCCGCAAGAGGAAAACGGCCGCGCGCTGACTGCAATGCCTGAGTGAGGTTCGGTAATAACTAGCACACAAGGTACTACTATTCGACTACATCCAGAACAAGGATTCATTTGTTCACAGGTTATCAGCCGTGAGGCTCACTTCTCCCGCCGGGAGAGTGGTACCTGCGTGCTGGTAGCCGGACCTTCTGAGCAATTGATTGAGGACGCAAAGGACCAATCAGCTCACCATCGCAAAGATGCAAGGCGGCAGCGGAGATTCGCGCACCACGCAGTTTACCTTCAATGAGAACGCTGCTATGCCGGTCGAGGAGGTGAATCAATCTTCCCCTGGCGACACGGCAGACAGTGGCGGGATACGCTCTACCCGAACTACACAGTCCGGATGGCAAGTCACATCAAACAGACGAAGAATATCCACCCAAAGTACACCTAGATCTTCTCGAAACAGTGCTCGGAGTGATGTTGTCCGTCAAGGGCATCGACCATCTCGAGGACGTACTACTCCAAGGGACAGATCCACCAGGGCCGTGACCGACCGAATTGGTGAGAGGACCGGGGATAGTCGTGTTAAGAGGAGATCAACGGATACTTCTGTGGCTAGTGAACCTATTGCCATGATAGAAGAACTACGGGCACAATGTCAATCCCTACGTAATCAGCTGAACAACATGGAAGCATACGCTGCATCCAGGGATCAACTGATTCATGACATCGAGATCAGGTTCACTGAGTATCTTCGGGAACACAATCAGAATGTATTTGATGAGGTCAATGCACTCAATCATAGATTGTCATGTTCCGCAAATGAGGTTGCAGAATATCAAGCAGAACTAATGGTAGCATCTCAGGAAGATGAAGGTGCAACAATACGCATCCAAGACCTTGAACGCCGAGGTGCCCTAATGGAACATGGTGCACGACGGATCCATCAACGTGGTATGGAGATCCAGGAGGAGTACAAGGATGAAGTACATCATCACCGTCAAGGACTACTGGGTAATACGGAGGCAAGACTACAACAACTTCATCAAACCAATGTCTTAACCACCGATATTGCCAATCGACTATACACTGAAGGTCAAGAAATGCAAAATGATTTCCAGAACTCAATCATGGAATATCGTAATCGATCTGAAATGGCATCCTCCTCTAGTAATCAACTTGAAGTGATTAGCCAGCAACAATCAATTGCAGTTCATGAATTATCTGAGCGAAATCAGCTATTGAGTGAAGCCTTGATTCAGTCTCGTAAACAGGCCGAGCTGTATGAGAGCAGTATTGATGAGATCACTAGAGAATCTAGGAAGAAGGTGTTCGAGGCAAATCAGGCCAAATTGGAAAGTGATCTGAAGCATCGAAACACTGAACATGATACCGTCAAAAGAATTGCATCATATAGGAACCAATTGGCCGAAGCAATATCTCACCTGAGGCTTGAATCACAGGCTAGTGCAAACTCGATCGCGAGGGCAGAGCACTATGAAGAGCTCTATGCCAACGAGCAGAAGATGAACTGCGAATTGAAGGATGAGATCAAGTTGCAGAACACGAAGTTACGAAGATCGTTGACTCAGGGTTCTACGACCGACGGTCGTGGCCCCGAAGAGATGCTTGTTGAAGATCTACGTAATCAAGCTAAGATCGCTCAAATCAGGGTTCAGGATCTAGATCATGAAGTTCATGAATGCTTACAAGAGAACTTGTTGTTAAAAGAAAGGTTGGCTGAAGTTGCGGATGTAGGGACGTCGTCCCTCACCAATGCTGAGGTCCGAACTCTAAGATCTGAACTAGAGAGTGAGCGAAAATTAAAATTGGCGAGTGGTGTTCAACAATATGAGAGATCATGCATGTTCATGGGGGAAATCCAGGATAGGGATGAAAAGATTGGCATCAAGAATTCTGAGATTGTTGACATGAAACGTCACTTAGATGAACTGAGAAAGAGTCTCAAGGATTCTGAAACATCTATGGCTAGGATCAGTCCTGACACACTTCCCTATTCGGCAGGCATTCCCAACTCTGATCTCGCATCCAGACTGGTCATCGACAAACTGGAGAATGACGTGAGTGAGGCTAACTGTGAAAACGCTATTCTGAAATCTTGGGTCTCGCAGATCGACAAGGAGTTGACTTATGAGACAAATGTAGCTCATTCCTATCGTGGGCATGCTTTACCTCCTCAACAACCACAGCATTCTCAATCAAGCAAAAGAATCGCTGATCTACTGAAAGAGGTTGACAACAAGATCGCTGGCGGAACTGAGAGGGAATACTACAAGCCACCGAGTGGATGGGGCGGTCCGCCTGACCCTGATGGACCTCCGGACCCTTTCGGGCCTAATGGTCCAGGACCACCTCCTGAACCTCCTGGTTTGCCTTCGGTTCGAGGATCACAACGCGATTCAGCAGATGATGTCTCCACAGCGGCTTACACTGCGGAAGAAGTACCAAGAATGTCAAGACGAGAGGCTGACAAAGTCTATGTTAGTCCATGGCCAAAGCAACAGAATCTTGGGGTTTGGCAATCAGATCTCATCAAGAGTGTTGTCCTTTCGGCAAATGACGGGGATAAAGCCGCATGGGAGGCATGGCTACAGCCGGCTATTCGACCTAATCCTGACATCGAGCTGTTGAATGACAGTGGGGGGCAACGGTATCAGTCCATCGACGCCAAGTTGTCAATCGCATTGTCAAACGTGATAGCCCAAGCCGGTGATGTTGCTCGTCATGTAGCGATCAAATTGAGATTGAGAACACAAAGTCATAGCCGAAGAGGAACCTACGTCATGGGACGGGAAATCTTGGCTTTGATTCTGGAGCACTTCAGAACCCCAGGTCAACGAGAAACATCCTTCACCATGGAGCACATCGTATCGATGAAGTATCTCGGTGACTCGAACCTAGAAGTGTTCTACGAGAAATGGATGGAGATGGTATCAAACATGATGCCGGATGACGTACCTCCTGATGATTGGCTTCGTGATGCTCTATACAAGAAGATTCGAAATTCGAGTCTTATGATGTTTGACATCAAGCAGTACGAGTCATGGATGGAAGGAGACCAAAGACGAAATTATCGCTACCTGTTGGATGTCATCGAAAGGCATATCTCCAGAATCAGAGAGGACAAGCATGTGGCAGCTAGAGAGAAGTATGCGAGAGACTTTGCAGGCGGCGGCAAACCCTCAGCTCCTGCTCCGAACCCAACTGCTGCTGAACCGGATGCAAATCCAAAAGCGAAGCCTAAAGCTACTCCCAAGGAGAAGGCAGCGCCCAAGGCGAAGGCCAAGGCCGATGCAGCTCCAGTTCTACCATCACCTCAGCCTAAACAGCATGCAAAAGGAAAAGGAAAAGGTCAAGGGAAAGGGAAGGACCGATCAAACGGCCGAAGTACCAGCCCCAGATCCAAGAAGAAGATCCCATGCCATTTCCATTTCATCAAGAAAGCATGCAGAAAAGGCAAGGATTGTGAATACAGTCACGACCAAAAGGTATTTGATGCGAACAAGAATGCAAAAGGCAACGGTCGGAAGCCAGGAACTCCAAGAAGTCAGTCTCCGGCAAACAAGACCAAGAAGATTGATGAACCATGCTGGCATTGGGCTAAGGGCAAGTGTCTGTATGGAGACAAATGCAACAAACGCCACGATCCTCATCTATTCAACACTGCTCCAAACACTGAAGCACCAAGCTCAAAGGCTACTCCTGCACTTATCCATGATTGGAGTGATGATGAAGGGACGTTCCATAAGGTTGCATCAAACGTGGTCAAGAAGAAGATCAGATTTGATGAGTCTAAAACTCAAGTTCGAACTTACGTGAAGAAGGACTTCGTGAAGTGCAGCCGGAAATCCCAAACCATCCCCAAAGGTCATGGTAAAGTTGGCAAGCCCACTGATCAGATAAGGAAAGATGAGCAATGGTCTTATTCATGCAGGTTAGCTTCGAGCCGAGGGAAAGCAATGGCTATTCTGATCGATGAGAAGGGTGAACAC